AGACAAAAATTCTATTTTTCAGTTTTAACTGCATCTGTACAGTAATGTATATTGATGTATAAGTTTGTATAAACTTGTATATGAAATGTTGAATAATATATACCAGTATTTCGCTGGCAAAAAAAAAAGCAAACTCAGTGTTAATAGAAAACATAGAGAATACGAAGTAAAAGCAAAAAAAAAAAAATCTAAACAAAAAGTAACCAAAAAAAAGCAAAAGGGAACTGTGGAAAAACTAAAAATAAAAAACATGCAACAAAACTAAAATTACTATCGTGAAAGAGAAACTTACTTCAAAAAAAAGATCAATGTTGTATAACAGTATTTCCACACCCAATATACAATATTATACGACATTATGCCCTCATTATAATGTTATATAATGTTGTATAATATTGTATAATGATGTAGAAGGTGTATACAAAGCTGGATTTCATCTTGACCTTCATTCTTCAACCAGTATGGTTCCCAAAACCAATGTTAATCTAACACAATTAACCCAGCACTCAAGATTCTTATCATTACAAGCTTTTACAATAATTTTTAACTTAACCCCATCACTTTAGAGTTAGATTTTCCAAATCTGAGTTGAACTTAGATCTTCAAAGCTCCTTCAATGGAGTTTAGAATATGGATGCAACAAAACTTCAATTTTAAATTTGGACACACATATCGAGATTCAAATATTTGAGATCTATAAAAATTTACGAAGATTAAGCAACTTAGTAGAGAGATGCTCTAAATCAAGTTTGAGTTCTATAAATATTCAGATCTATGTGAGTGAGAGAAGAGAAAGAAAGGAGAAAGCAAAAAGAGGCGGGTTGAGAGTATAGAGTGTACTGAGAATGAAGAAAAACGAAAATAAAGAAACCCTAAAAGTGTGTTTGTAATCGTGGCTAAAGCTTGAAAATTTTCTTTCAGATTATGTACAACCTGGGCCAAACTAGGTAAGGACTTCAAATGTGGGCCGTTTTGGGTTGGGCTGTTAGGCCAAGTGACAAGGGCTATAATTATGAAAGAATTACAAGAAAATACACATGACTTCACACCATAATAAAAAATGGCCCATATTTTTTAAGTTTACCCGCTATAGCCCAGTTTGTATAGAATTTGAAGGAAAGATTTCAATCACTAACCTAGTTCTCTTTTTCCCTACACGCCCAAAATGCTCTCTCTCCTGGTGCCTCTTCATTCTCTACAGGCCATCATCTTCTATCCTCCATATTTTTTTGATCTATCTCCCATATTCATCTTCTATCTTCTATAATTTTAAATCTATCTTTCATCCTATCTTTTCTCTTCTCTGATTTCCAGATCTAATTTTCCTTAATTTTTTTTATTCTCTCAAACTTTCGTAATGCAAAAAGATGAAAGTCTAGAGTAAGATGAAGAAAATGAAGTTAGTTGTTCGTTTGATAGGATTGAGGAAGAAAATATTTGACCCATTAATGATTTAAGTAATTTTGATTGATAAATCTCTGAGTCTCTTACTGTGAGCATTTGGTATCGAAATATAAGTCCCAAAAATCATAATTCCGCCACTGACGAAGCTAAAGTTTTTAGATCTGGAAGTTTTCATTGTGAATTTGCGTCAATCCAGATGGGTATTGACTAATAATAGTATTATTGATCGGGTGAGACAAAATTTAAGAATTTGGGATTCATCTAGACCTATCTTGAGCTGATTGGTTCTTCTTCTTCTTCTTCTTCTTTTTTCTTGTTCTTTTTGATAATATTGGTGTTAAACAGAGGTGTAGTGATGGACATAAGGTATTTTTCAGTGCATATACCGTATAACTGGTGTTTATACACATTTATACAAATATTGTATAATTATGTATAAAATAGGTATAAGTGTGTAGATTTGTATATAATGATGTATAATTATATTTTTTTCAATGTATAAGGGTGTATATAACTGTGAGCATTTGGTATCGAAATATAAGTCCCAAAAATCATAATTCCGCCACTGACGAAGCTAAAGTTTTCAGATCTGGAAGTTTTCATTGTGAATTGGNACAAAATTACTATCATGAAAGAGAAACTTCAATAAAAAGATCAATGTTGTATAACAGTATTTTCACACCCAATATACAATATTATACAACATTATACCCTTATTATAATTTTGTATAATGTTGTATAATGATGTAGAACGGTGTATACAAAATTGAATTTCATCTTGACCTTCCTTCTTCAACTAGTATGGTTCCCAAAACCAATGTTAATCAAACACAATTAACCCAGCACTCAAGATTCTTATCATTACAAGCTTGTACAATAATTTTTAACTTAACCCCATCACTTTAGAGTTAGATTTTCCAAATCTGAGTTGTACTTAGAGCTTCAAAGCTCCTTCAATGGAGTTTAGAATATGGTTGCAACAAAACTTCAATTTTAAATTTGGACACACATAAATCGAGATTCAAATATTTGAGATCTATAAAAATTTATGAAGATTAAGCAACTTAGTAGAGAAAATGCTTTAAATCAAGTTTGAGTTCTACAAATATTTAGATCTATGTGAGTGAGAGAAGAGAAAGAAAGGAGAAAGCAAAGAGAGGCGGGTTGAGAGTATAGAATATGCTGGGGAAAAAATGAAAATAAAGAAACCCTAAAAGTGTGTTTGTAATAGTGACTAAAGGCTAAAAATTTTCTTTCAAATTATGTATAATCTGGGCCAAACTAGGTAAGAACTTCAAACATGGGCCATTTTTGGTTGAGCTGTTAGGCCAAGTGACAAGGGGTGTAATTATTCCGTCATTAAATGCATTTTTAATCCTTAAGTTTTAAATACTAAAGGTAACTGTTAAAAAATCAACAAAATGCAGCATTAAAAAGCAAAACCCATGAGTTCCCCAAATTCCTCAATCACACCATTCATGAACCCTAACTCTCTCAACAAAAGATGTGAGAAAGAAAACTCAACAAAAGATGTTAGTATATAGTGATGAAATCCAACTATCGGTAAGTTTGCTCTGTGTTTCTTGCAAGCTGCTTTCCTATTCTTAATTTTTTTTTCCGATAGAGCTAAGAATTTTTTACCATAGTTATTGGAACGTAGGAAGAGAGATCTTGATATGTCTATTTACCAAGCCCCTATCATATCATCGTTATAGAGTCCTAGTTTACTGTTTGATCATCTCCATAGCATACATTGTTCCAACAAAGTTACCGCCTATAATCACTCAGCTTCAACACTAGTAGACTTAAGTTACTACCTAGAATCACTCAGCTTCAACACTAATAGAGGATAAATTGGAAGTCTATGAAGCTGCCGACAGTGAATGTACAAGGGCGGCTCCGTAAAATTGGTGGCCTAAAGCCAAATTTTAATAAGAGGCCTTATATTTTTTCTATTGGTACGTATCCACACATATATGCAAAAAAATTAATCTTGACATTTTTTCATACTTGTTGTTAATAGAATATCTTCTTAAATGACATAAAGTCTTTAACTTCACATAGTAATATTATTATTTATATTAAAAAAGAAAAATTTCAATAAATGAGATATTAGACATGTATTTGCAATATGTTACCTTTGATGTTGTTGTAAAAAATATATTTACAAAGATTTAAGTAGTTTAATTCAAAGTTTAAAAATTTTTTTTACTGTTTAAGAGCAGACACCTTTCTTTCTTTTTTACAATTTTTTTGTACTTTTTTATTTTTTCTACAAACATTAATATTGTCTAATTTGAAATAAAATTATGAAATCAATTATTAAAAATTTTGGGGGACCTAAATCAAGGCTTTACTAGTCTTTTACTAGAGCCACTTATCCGCCCCGTACATTCTCAATAAAATTTATAGAGTCTCACTTAAAATAAGGCAACTATGACAAGAGCATTAAAGGCAGCGAATTTGTCATTCAGTTACCAAATGTGAATGAAGCTGGTTGAACAGTACGTTTATAGTGGGGCAGCAGTCTGTAAATAATTGTTGATTGTCAATGAGGGGCGGCTCAACAGAACTGATGGCCTAAATCAAAATATATTAAAAAGAACCTGAAACGTCTTTTATAAAATTCATATAATATTGAGATACAAAAAAAAACCTTCATGACTTTGATATAGTAGTGAGAGCACAAATCATGATTTATGAGTTAGGTGCGCATCATATGGTATTGAATTCTTCCATTAAGTGAAAATGGTAAAGGGTGAGCCCATTATTCATCATGTTTTGAACCTTGCGACATTTGCCTCGGGAATTTCTTAGTTAAAAAAATGAGACACAAAAGAACTTGCTTTCTGGTGTGTGGATCAATCAAATGTGACAAAAAGAAATAATTATTTTAGAGAATTGGAATTGAAATTAGAAAGTAAAATCGTAAGAAGCATAAAAAAAGACTAAACATAAAGAAAGAAAAATAAAATTGATGAGAAGGTAGATATATATTACGTCTACCAAATATTAAAAATTATTAAAATTTGAAATTTTATTAATAATTATATAAATATAAATTATGAAGTATATATATTACAATAATATAGTAGTAATNATATATATATATATATATATATATATATATATATATATATATATATATATATATATATAATAACAATTTTTATTTTTAGGGCCTTAATTATTTGGGGACCTGCAAGGGCTTCACTTGCCTTACCTAGAGCCGCCCTTGTGAAAGTACCGAGGCTGAGATAGAAAGTTGTCATACATGAAGACTGAATCAGTGGAGATTGAGGAATTGGGGGAAAAATAGACTTGCTTCCATAGAAAAGGGGCTAAATACTCGAATATATTACAAAGAGGTTTTGGTATTCAAATGATAGAGCCAAAATGAATAACGTTGTAGTGTTGGACAATGGCGCGGGCCTAATCAAGGCTGGAATCGGCGGCGAAAGAGACCCAACAGCTATTGTCCCAAACAGCACGGGGCGTCCACTCTCTTCCAAGAAATGGCTTATGGCAGATCAGCTCCTTTCCCCTGACGTAGACCTTACTTCCGCCACTGTCCGCCGCCCTTTCGACCNACCTAGAAGAATTGATTTGCAAAAAATGAATTTGGGTTGACAAATGAGCGGTTCCTCGTCCCAGAGATGATGTTTCGTCCAGCTGACTTGGGACTGAATCAGGCTGGACTTGCAGAGTGCATTGTTAGAGCTATCAGTTCCTGCCATTCTCATCTTCAACCTCTTCTCTATGAGAGCATCATTTTGACGGGAGGCACTACTCTATTCCCTCATTTTGCTCAAAGACTAGAAATGGACCTTCGACCACTTGTCCCAGATAAATACCGTTTAAGGATTACGACTCAAGAAGATCCTATACTAGGTGTTTGGCGTGGAGGATCACTCTTGGCATCAAGTCCTGATTTTGATGCAATGTGCGTCACCAAAGCTGAATATGAGGAGCTGGGATCAGCTAGATGTCGAAAGAGATTCTTCCACTAACTTTTGTGATGTTACTTTTGAAGTTTACAAGTCTATGTTCATCTTTTGTGTTAAATGGAGGGAGTAATTAGGAGGATCGCCGGCCTCTACTGTTGCAATTGAGCTAAATATGTATGTGTTCTGAAATGTTTCTTTTTCTTGTCAGTTTCTTTTATGTATTTCAGGCCAAATTTGTTGAAGCCTAATCTTACTGAAATGAAATGTTAATGGCATCTTCAATACCAGAAAAACAAAAAAATGGTCCAAGAGCAACAATCATGACTTTGTCTCTCCCCTTATTATTCAGTTTTTATACCGAACCATATATGCGTTTATCTGTATGCAATACCGAAATATAGATCCGCTATCTATTGCTTCCACTTCTTTTTTCTCCCTGTTTTCTGGCTCTTTCTGTTTACCAGGAAAAGTCTATGTTTCTCTCAACACTCTCAATACTGAACTAGCAATAAGAAATGGTTGTGATTTCATAAAGGTAAGCTTCAATTTGTCTCTGTTTCACTTGCAGTCTGTTGATGAGTTGATCATATTGGTTATGTGCTTGGCTCTTGTTATTGGTTGCTCAACTATTTGTCGTGTAACTGGTTAACTAATCTTTATTCTTGATTCAGTTTGACACTTGGTATGATGATTTCATGTAGTTCTGATCTAAAATTTTGTTGACCATGAAAGTGGTTAAAAAATAAGAACGTGCATTGGTTGTTTCACGACACTGTTTAACTGCCTCACAAAGTGAAGGAAGATGAGACCTTTCTGACAATATGGAATGCTTTGCGGTGTACCTGAAATGATAATTGGCCCTGATTATCTGTATAAGTGTCTTCACTAAAAGAACATTAAATTTTTGTTTGTGTACTGGCTCACAAGTGATTTTACAAGGGAAAAGTCAAAGACTGATGGGACAATTGATCGCTGGGAGAGTTATTTATTAGATTTTAAGGGGAAGTCATCAAGCTAAAAGGATTTATAAGATAAAATCTGTCCTATAAAACTATTTTGTTTGATATTGGTGTGAACTTCTCCCTGCCACTTACGTCCTACGCCGGACTTCCTGAATGATCATACTGATGGAACCTTCCATACCCCATTGAGTTGGTCTTTTTTGCCACATTGTATGTTGGGAACAGAACCCCTTTGCCTGCCAACAGTAACTACAAAATTGGGGAAAAATAGCTCATTTTCATTTGAGAAGGGCTATGAGCTTCCCGATGGACAAGTCACTAAAATTGGGGCTGGGAGGTTCCATTTCCCTGAGGTCCTTGTCCCGCCATTGTTGGTTGGAATGGAAGCGACACGAATTCATGAAAAAGCCTACAACTCAATCATGAGATGCGATGTTGATATTAGGAAAGATTTATTTGCAAACATTGTTCTTAGTGGTGGATTAACTATGTTTCCAGTCATAATATATCGTATGAGCAAGGCAATCACTGCCCTTACTCCAAGCAGCATAAAGATCAATGTGGTTGCACCACCTGAGAGGAAGTACAGCACCTGGATTGGGGGATCAAAGCACTTCCCTCTGCAGTTTTAAACAAGTTAGTTTCTGTTTGCTTTACTTCAGGATCAGTCAATCGATCAATTTTTAACCCTTTTAAGCTCAAAGGGTTTAATAGCTAACACCTACGTCCCATGCAGATGTGTATAACAAAGGGCACGTATGGTGATTTGGTCCCTCAATTGTCCACAAGAAGTGTCTTTAAGCTTGGTGAGCTTTTATATCCTCTCTTGTCAACTTCCATCTAATGATTTCTATTTTAATGAGAGATCGACGATATATATTTCAACTAGAGATCAGTTTCTTTTCCCAAGTTATACCCGATCTTGTGAGCAGTGTGATATTTTAGTTTCTAGTTGTTCCGTTATCATTCTAATTTTGCTGGCTCGGGTTTATGCTTTTATTTCAAGTGATTTGGCTAGTAAGCCATGAAAATGGTGGATCGTCTGCGACTTATGTTTGTTCTATTGTTTTTTAGGTTAGACACATTTGGTTATATTTTTTTTTTTTGAAAGCAGATGCGAATGCAGATTTGCTTGGCCTTACTGGAAAATAAGCTCTTTTCGCTTGGTTACGCAGTCGAAGCCCGACTAGAAAGAGTAGTCCGTGTACATCCCCGTTTGCAATTCATGACCATTTTAAGTACCAAGAATTTTTTAAGTGTTACCAAAGTAATGTGCTAGCAAACTGCTATAATTCGCCTCCTTTTCTTCGAGTAATTTGTCAGATTTTGCAAAATTACACCATGATCGATTTGCAAGTTGCAAGTTGTATGATAAAACATTACAATTAGCAATAAAGGTATAACAGCATACGAAACCAAACATATGTAATAGATTGTTTGATCGAATGAAGTAGTAACATTTGTGTATTGAAACGAAAAGTTAATTTTTTGTACAATGATCGAAAGTTAATATGATTAATGAAGTGATACAATTGTTATATTAATTCGATAATGTAATACAAACCAAACATGCTTAGGAGGGTGTTTGGGTAAGTCTAAAAGTGGGTCAAACTAGCTTGACTCATTTGGTGTTTGGTGGATATCAGCGGGGCTTCTATGCAAAAATCTGTTTATTTTGAGAAGTGCTATTTTCAAAAAAAAGTACTTTTGGTGAGAAGAAGTTTGTGTTTGGTTGATTAATTTGACTAGCACTTTTGACCGGCCGTTAGTGTTTGACCAAGCTTTTAAAAAGTGTTTTTAAGTATATTTTTCTTAAGCTTTTAAAAAGTGTTTTTAAGTATATTTTTCTTAAAAGTGCTTTGGGGGAGAAATCACTTTTTTCTGCTTCTGAGAAATTACTTCTACTTCTACTCAAAAACACTTTTTTTTCATTCTGAAAGCTTGACCAAACACCTTAATTTTGAAAAAAAATACTTCTGGCCAAAAAAACACTTTTGGCACTTAAAAAAACATTGCCAGACATTTATTATTTCCTCTGTTTTCAATTTATATGACACACTTTGGCTCAGCACGGGAATTCAAGAAAAAGAAAGATGATTTTTGAAGGGAAAAGGTCCAAAATTGCCCCTCTACTATGGTTCTTTATCCATTGCAATGGTTTAATCTAAATTCTAGATTGTGCACCAGTTTTTTGTTTTTTCTCTTACACACTAACTACTGAACTAGCAATACATGGGTTTGATTTTATCAAGATAAGCTTCAATTCCATCATACCAAACACACCCTTAGGATGATGATTTCATGTGGTTCTGATCCAAAGTTTGTTGAATATGTTTTGGTCGGATGCAATTATCTTTATCATCCTGATCATGTAATTAAGAATTTTGGAAAATCCATGTTTTGGGCTTTTAACATGAGTGAGATATCTTGGTAATGCTTGAATGAACACCCGCTGCACCAATGCTCACAGATTAAGCTGATTTTGTAATTTTCACTTTTTTCTCTGTATTTGTACCACTGATATCTTACACAAATTATACTTGCAAACCGAGAGAAAATGACTCAAATCATGTTTGAGTCATTCAATGTGCCAGCCATGTATGTTGCAATCCAGGCTGTTCTCTCGCTGTATACTAGTGGTCGTACAACTGGTAAGCTGTAGATGGTACACTAACATATTCTAGTTCTCTCTACCGATTTGATTAGTCACTAATTTCGTTGCTTCCAAACAAGGTATTGTGGTTGATTCTGGTGATAGTGTGAGCCACACTGTCCCCATCTATGAGGGACATGCACTTCTCCATGCTATCTCGCGGTTAGATCTTGTTGGTGATGATCTTACATATTATCTCGTGAAGATTCTCTGTGAGAGTGGTTACACATTCAAGTATAATATTGAAAAAGATGTTTTTTGTCATATGAAGGAGAACACTGCTTATGTTGCACTGGATTTTGAAAAAGAGATTGAGGAGGCAAAAAAATACATCTCATCAGTTGAGAAGGGCTATAAGCTTCCTGATGGTGAAGTCATTAATATTGGTGTTGAGAGGTTCCGTTGCCCTGAAATCCTCTTCCAACTGTCATTGGTTGGAATGGAAGGGATAGGAATTCATGAAAAAGCCTACAACTCAATCATGAGTTGCGTTGTTGATATTAGGAAAATCTATTTTCAAACATTGTGCTAAGTGGTGGATCAACTATGTTTCCTGGCATAGCAGAACGTATGAGCAAGCAAGTCATTGCAGAACGTATGAGCAAGCAAGTCATTTAAGCTTCCCTCTGTACTTTCGAACAAGTTAGTTTCTTTTTTGCTTTATCTCACTGATCAATCAATCAATGTATTGTTAACTCTTTTAAGCTCAAGGGATTTAGCAGCTAACATCTACGTCCATGCAGATGTGTATAGAAAAGGGCGAGCTTGATGAATCTAGTCCCTTTTTTGTCCACAGTAAGTGTCCCTAAGCTTGGTGAGAACTTAAACTAATCATCTTTTGTTAAGTAACAGTAAACGAATGCTTCATTTTACGTCAAACTGACCTGCTCTTTTTTGAAGTGTTACCCAATACTTTAAGCAGTCTGTGGTTAACATGCTATTCTTGCTTGGCTTTTCTTTGTAATATAGCTAGTAAGCAGGGAACTGGTTATATAGTGATTTGGGGTTAGGAATTCTGGACTAGCTTTCTTAACTATGTTTACAAGAAAATATATCAACAGGTGGCTGTGTAATTGCAGAAAGTAGATCTACAATTCTATGCTTAGTATTCTATTTGGATTGGATTTTTATTTAGCTTTATATATCTTATACCCGTTTGTTATCAGTTTGCAATAAGAGATTTTTGTTGTTACCTTTCTATTGTTGTAGGTGATATGAATGGATGCAAATGGCGTTTGGAAATTAAATAGGCAGAAGAAGCATTTCGGTCCCACTTTGGCAAGAGAAATAAGTGAATGCTTGATTGCAGACATATTTTCTATTAGAGAAAGGCAACACAGCTTTTAACTTCATAGTGCATACTGTACAGATGGATGGAATAAAAGCAAGTTCTCGAGTGTTTGACATGGATTCTTGTTTCTTACATTTTCTCCTTTTGTGTTTCAACCTAATTTGAGTTTTTTGTTATTACTAATATGTGAGTTATGCGTTTGTTACAAGTCTGAACTTTGCCATATAATAAAAATCTGATATTCAAGTGGAGAATGGAGGCTCATTCCAAATTATGCGGCAGCTGTTCTCAAGATTTTGTGATTTGTTGAAAAATTTCAAACTAACGATCAGTTTATTCAGTAACTTGTCTCCTTCCCCAATTAAGATGGTGTTTGGCTAAGCTTATAAGCTGGTCAAACTAGCTTATAAGTACGTTTTGGCTTATCTACACGTTTGGTAAAGCTAAAAGTGCTTATAAGTCAAAAATAAGCCAAAAGCCATAAGCTGGT